ACCCAAAGAACTACAAGTCTACTCGATCGAGACGTCTCTCCGTAAACCAGGTACAGTGTTAGGCGAAGGTGCCACAAATCTTATGGGGAGGGGGTCTTAAAGATCAGTCTTAAGGGATTTCTCCCACTCTTGCCCAACCTCCCTCAACCTAGTGCATTCTGGCTATCTTGGGCCAAAGTTGGTTAGTAGGGTTCGCTAGGAGCTCTGAATCCGCCCCGGAGTTCAGTCCGAACTTTACACGGGTTACCCAAGGTGCTCAACTTAACTTGGGGCTAGAATTCGGCACCGTGCCCAGGGTCCGGTCACCTTCCATCTAAAATCGGGCCTCCTTGCAAACTCACGGCTCGCTGGCCATTTTCTGTCTCCAATGACATCCCCCAGCATCCCCAACCCGCATGACCAATGTAGGGGGAGTTGTAGTCACACCGGTCAGGAAGGAGCCAGAATTGGGAAAGGCTGCTCCAAACCACGTGGCGAGCACTTGCTCAAAATGGAGGTTGGATGGCCAACCGGCCCTCTGCCTTGGCTACTGACGAGGGCTGAGCCAACGGCACCAGCTTCTTAGCCCCAAATATTTCAGTTCCATGGAAACATGGACAGGAGGCCATGTCGGTGGAACGGCCGGAGGCGGCTGGCGGAAGAGTTAGGGCAGGAGGCTGAGCCGAAGGATTCCCGGAATATTAAATTTGGGGGAAAAGAGAACGGGCCGGGCCTTCCGCAGCCTCCATCCAGGATGGGGTCATGGAGGGGGCATCTCTCTGTCCTCTCCAGATTTTGGTCATCCTTCCAGCTGTGTCCTACCCGAGCCCTTCATACAACTGTGGGCCTGACAAGATTCGATGCCCAGCCCAGGAAACTCCAAAGGCCACTCCCGCTAGTTGTTCAGACTTCAGGGTACAGCGCGTCCATTCTGATGGAGCTTGAACCCGGATGGTACGTGTCTCCTTTCAGGGTCCTTTCAAGACCAGGGATGGGCAAAGGGCATCCTGGGGGAGCCCTTGAATGCCCCATGCCTGGGTGGAAGAAAAGCCTCATTCTGCTCGAATATGGGACAGGGTGCCCCCCCAAAAGCAACGTGGGAAGGTCTGTGCATTTTCTCCCTCATTTCAAGGGCTGGTTGAGCAAGTCCCAAGGAAAACGTGTTGATCCCAGGGACCCTCTGAATTGTTCCCCAATTGCTCGAGACCATCACAGAACCAACAAGAGATGGGGAGGGGGGTGAGTGGGTGTTAATGGGACACTAAACAGAGATCTGGGGGGAAAAAGAGAGAAATAAATGGAATAACTCACAATCGACACGGGACTTGGGACGAGAGTTTTGCTTCTCACGAATTCAGAAAAGCGAATTGTCATCAAACGCCCATTGTGTGCTTATTTTCATACCGCCCCCTCCTTTGCAATAACCTGCCTGCCCCCCCCCAAAAATAAATCAAAACCAGGCGTATTGTGAGCCTCTCCTCACCTGCCAGTTCCCTAGCTGAGTGGTGCATGCCATATATTGGAACTGTTGTCTAAGCAGCCCCTGTGGGGCAGAGTAACCCCCTAATCCTGCCCCCTATTTCACCCACCATGGAAGTATACGGATATTTGGTTCATGCGCAAAAGCGGCCCCTTCCCCGCCCACCCCCACCAAAAATGACGAGGCAGCAGCTGGTGGGAGAGCATGTCGGAGGGGGGCAGGGCGGGCGGACAGGCGGGGGCGGTAGGAGCCCCCACCCTGCTGAGGAGGGGCAGGAGGAGGCGCAGTCCATAGGGACACAAGCGTGCACAGCCCCGGGCGTCAATGTGTCCCTACGCCCGGGACTCTTTCTTCGTATTGGGTTTGTTACCCAGGAGAGCGTCTATTTCCTGGACCACCTGCGGCGTCAGCTGGGTGAGGACCTGTGCAGGGGGAAGAAAGAGAAGGCCAGCGTTCAGAAGAGGAAGAAGACCTTTCTGAGCCATCATCCTCCCTCCTCCAATCTCCTTTTTAAGTGTAAAATTGTCGCTGAAAAAAGGGGAAAGCTCGGAAAGTGTTCACGGGTGACGGGATGGCTTTGGTGGTGGCTCCCAGTCTCTGAACAATTACAGTGGTGCCTCGCTGGGCGGGCATAATCCGTTCCAGGAAAATCGCCGTTAAGCGAAAACATCGTAAAGCGGAAATAAAAAGCCCATTGAAACACATTGAAAACCTTTCAATGCATTCCAGTGGGCTTAAAACTCACCGTCCAGCGAAGACCCTCCATACGGCGGCCATTTTCACTGCCTGTATAGCAAGGAATCCATCTCTAAACACAGCGGGGAGCCATTTTATTTACCCGGTGGCCATTTTGAAACCACCGATCAGCTGTTTAAAAATCATCGTTTTGTGAAGATTCGGTTCCCAAAGCAGGGAACCGATAATCGCAAAGCGAAATTCCCCCATTTAGACCATCATTTTGCAATCACAAAAAGATTGCAAAAAGATCATCGTAAAGCGGATTCGTCGTAATGCAGGGCAATCATAAAGCGAGGCACCACTGTATTCCCATCCTTTTGGTCTACATATACGTTATTATCTCTTTGGCACCAGCAGAAGAGGTTTCCTTTTTCCCGCCCTTTGACAAAGATGCCACGGGCTGACTTTTACACAAATGGCTTCATATCCCCATTTGCTATTTTTGGCACAAGACGTACTTTGATTTTATAGATGGTTTGTTTTTCCCTGCTTTGTTATAACATACCTTCACCAAAAAATGCATTAGGACACATGAATGATTTTTCGCCCAAGGAGGTAGCTGTGTTAGCTTCTGTTTTAGCACAAACAAAGAATTTTGAGACTAACAGAATTTCTTTGCATGAGCTATAGGGTGGACTGCGGGCCATTTCTTCAGATCCCTCGGTGATGGTGTAGATGTGATCCAGGAAAACTTACACCAACCTGTTCCTTTTACAGGCAGTGGTAAACCACCCCTTGAATATCTTAATATACCTTGAAAATCCTATTTGGAGCACAAATTAGCCAGAAGTGGACAGAGGATTTATTTCATTCTGCCAGAAAATGCAAAGAAAATAAAAATTTGGGCATAGGGTGGAGGAGAGAATTCGGGGCGACTGATTGGCAAATGATACAGGGCACATCTGGTTTAAGTCTCTGGCTGTGAAGCCAGAGGTTGGGAGGTCAATTCCCCCCCCCACTGGGCCTCATTGATGGGGCTGGACTTGATGATCTCGAGGGTCCCCCTCCGACTCTGCAGTTCTAAGGTTTGAAATAATGCATTCTTAGCTGGTGGGAATTTGCTGCCAAGAGATTCTCAGTGAAGTGATAGTAACCCATGATCATAGTTCTGTCAACGGCTGTTACAGCAGGACCCCAGTATCCATAGGAGATTGGTTTTAAGCCCCCCGCCCCAGTAATGCCAAAAAATGCAGGACTACCCCATATTATACATTGCATGGTCTTTGTCTCCCTCTAGTGCCCAGTTCCATTAAATACTCCCTGGAAATACATATTAAACTCAGGTTTTTTTTAATTTAATATTTTCAGGCTGGGGATAAGTGGATCATGCAGATGGTGGGGGGTATATTGTACTGCTCATAGTGAAAGCCCTAGGAAATTATGTTTTTTTTTCTCCCAGAATATCCCCCTCTAATTAACCATGCTGGCAAGGGTAACTTTCCAAAGTTCTATGGGGAGCCCTCCATGTCTAGAGGAAGGTTCGTGCTGAATAATGCCAGCTATGGGGCTGGCCCGTAGGCAGGTTTCCGGAGTTGTCCAGTTGGACCACCCCAGAAGCAGGAACTCCGTAAACGAGAGCATTTCTCTCTGCATGCCTCTTCGGGACAGGACAAGGAGTGCATGTAAAGAAAAAAAAACACCCTTCGCCCTTCTCACCTGAATTGAGCCCAAGTTCTCGATGAGCTGGTCGGTGCTGGAGACCCCCAGAAGGACGGAGCTGACACCTTCCGAGCGGAGACACCAGGCTTTTTTTTTGGGGGGGGAGAGGGGTTGGAAAGAGAGGTGGGGAAGACACATATTTGAAACAGATGACTTCTCTCTTCCTGGTACAGTCCCCCACCCCAGACAGGCTCTAACTCTCATCCAGAGCTTGGAAAGGTTGTTTCCAAAATCACCATGTGCTTGTTAGCATTGCTTTCAGCAGTAATTCTGATGCTTTTAAGGACTTGTGACTCGTGAGTAACACTACCCATTAGTAGCGCATCACAAATGTGTTGTATTCCATTTTTTAAAAAAATTACAGTAATAGTATGAAAGATGACCAATAGGGTCAATTATGACACACACCCACATAACATTTTGAAATAAAGATTATGTAAATATTAACTCAAAACCAACATGTAACATTCCTGATTTGGGGATTATTCTTTAAAATATCCAGAGGACAGATGGGATCTGCTTCAGATGGTCCCAGGGTGCAGGATACACAACAATGGGCTTAAGTTACAGGAAGCCAGATTCTGGTGGAATATCAGGAAAAATGTCTTAACTGTTAGAGCAGTACGACAATGGAACTAATGACCCTGGGAGGTGGTGAGTACTCCCAATGCTGGAGGCATTCAAGAGAAACGTAGATACCTACCGGGCAGAAATCCTTTGATTTGGATTCTTGCCTTGAGTCGGGGGTTGGACTCGATGGCCTTATAAGACCCTTCCAACTCCATGATTCTGTGATTGTACGGGAACCCCAATACGGTTGTCCCTTCCCTTCCTTCCCTCCCCCGATGTGAGACCACCCCACGGGGACTCCCTCCACACTTGCCTGCCCTTCCCACCAGCTGCTGCTCCCAAACCCACCCAACACCAAACCCCCCGCATCCTGCTCACCGATCGCCAGCTGCGCCACCGTGCACCCTAGGCGCTCCGCAATCGGGTGGAGTTCCTTCACTTTCGCCTGCTGCTTCTTCCCATCCTCGCTCTGCAGCTTCTCCTTCAGCCACTGGTACCCCTGCAGGAGGGAGGAGGACCCAAAAGAGGGCGGCCACGTCAAGGGAAACCCTTCAGCGCACGGGGGTGGGTGGGCAACGAGACCCCAACTTAAGCTAAGCTCCACAATTCGTTTGCACGAAAAGCAAACCGCAGGCAACGAATTTGCAAGGAAAGCAAACCGCCGGTCGTGGGGGTGTGAAGGAAACCCAGAGCAGGACATACCTTCATGGCTGCACGGCAGTTTTCGGGGACCCTCTCCTCGTATTTTCCTGTGATAAGTCCACATGCCAGCGGAGACCAGGTGATGGCTCCCACCCCTATCAGGAACAAGAGACAGGACAGGGGATGACCAGAGCCCAAAGGGAACAAACCCAGTCTATTCGCCACCCCAGGTGAACCGATATCGTCCTCTACTTCCCAGGGCTGTGTAGCAAAGTAGAAGGCAAGAAGGGGAGAAAGCTCCCTGTAATTTTACCCCAAGTTCCTCTGAGGAAGGGGTACCAGGCATGGACTATAATACCTTTTTCTGCCCCTAGGGCCTCCGCCGGCGAGCCAGTTTCATAGAATAAGTAGAGCAGAAAACTAGGATTCAGGAGGTAAAGGTAAAGGTTCCCCTTGACATTGAGTCCAGTCGTCTCCAACTCCAGGGCGCGGTGCTCATCCCCATCTCCAAGCAGTAGAGCCAGCGTTTGTCCGTAGACAATTTCCATGCTCATGTGGCCAGCGCAACTAGACACGGCACACCATGACCTTCCCACCGAGGTGGTCCCTATTTATCTACTCGCATTTTTACATGCTTTCGAATGGCTAGGTTGGCAGGAACCGGGCCAAACGACGGGAGCTCCCTTCGTCGTGTGGATTTTGATCTTACGACGGCTGGTCTTCTGACCTTGCAGCACAGAGGCTTCTGCAGTTTAACTCGCAGCGCTACCCACGTCCCATAGGATTCAGGAGACCTGGGTTCAATTCCCCGTTGGGCCCCTAAAACTCCCCTGAGGTGACGGGAGGAAAACACTCCTTAAATACCTCATGTACTTGGAAAAACCTATCAAGGTCACTACGAGGGGGTGCTGATAAGTATTGAGCTTTTCCCAGAAAAAAAATCGAGCTAGGAAGCTATAAATTGCAGGGTGTATTGACCAATTTGTCTGTATTCAACGGTGCAAAAATCAACTACCTATGATTTTAACTTATATTTCATGTTCAGGTCGAAAGTGAACATGGCGGCACCTCCAGAAAAGTTCAGTGTGGAAGCGTATAAACCAGGCTGACAGCACAGAAGAAGCGAAGCAAGATTCTTATATACACCCAGCACAACACAATCCTGATTTTATGTCGATCCTCAGAGTGATTTCTTTCACTCCAGATTCTCGATGCGTCTCTAACATCTCATCTTTTATATCTCATTTATAGAGTGGTTGGTCCTTGGGGACCCCCCGACCCCCCACCCCCTCCGTAACCTGCTCTCAAATCCTTCCCCGTACCGATCTTGTGATAGAGCTCTGGAAGTTGCGTCTCCACCTTATCCCGCTGGAACATGTGGTACTCGGCTTGCTCGCAGACGGGTGGAATGAGGTTGAATTGTCGCGCCACCGAATAGGCCTCCTAGGTTCGGGAAGAGAGAAGCCAAATAAGGGGTTCAGGGAAGGACGTCACACTCCTCTGGGTCTACAATTATAGGATCGGGCTGCATGGCTCTCCAGAAACCCAGCATTTACCATGATTTCCATGGCGCTCCAGCGAGATGTCCCCCAGTACATGGCCATTCCCTGGTTGATGACATACGTCATGGCCCGGACGATCTCTGGGGTGGAAGAGGAGGGGTGAGAAAAAGGCGGTAAGGGTGGGTGGAAGATTATTGAGGCTTGTCTTCGTCCCCTCCCAGCTCCTTATTTTAAGCAGGAAATCCAGAACCACAGCATCCCCAAAAGTTTCCTGGCCACCCACCAATGCTTAAAGACCTCTCTCCACTCCTCTAGGAAATGGTTTCCCCTCTCAGGTACCTATGCTGTTAATGACAGATGTTTTCAGCACAAAAACCCTACTAAATACAAGCCGGCTAGAATCTTTTGCCTCTTTTTCTTCAAAAGAATACACGACTCATGTTATTCGTTTCTTCTTAATTAAGAGTAAGGAAATAGATAGTCAGGTCTAAGCTAAGAAAGGGGGGGGGAACCAAGCAACCTCGTAACAACCTTCTAAAAATAATTTCCTAGAATGCTGGATTTAACACAGTTTTTTTGCCTTTCCTCTCCTTCCCTCAGTTTGTAAAACACGATCAGCTGCAGGTTGACGTTCATTTTGAAAAGGTGCCAGTTCTTAAAATTGGACTGAACTCAGAAACGCACAGAGAGAGAGAGAGAGAGAGAGAGAGAGAGATTGCCAGCTTTTCTGCTGGCCCCTGCTCCTGCGCCTTCAAAGGCCGTGCACTCTAGAGATTTGTGGGCAAGGGCCATCATCTCCAGGTAGAGAACCGTTTGCTTCCCGGTTTCTAAATACGCCCAGTGGCTCTTAAAAGGCGTGAGAGCCACCAAGCTGGTTTTCTTCAGATCCGCTGGCAACACAAAACACACAGAGGGTGCCACTCCATGCAACCGTACCCCACAGCTTGACTTCCCTCTCCAACCTCCCGATTCTTGCACCCGATATTTGCATGGCAATGATGGGGTCTCTACAGGACAGAGCCAGGATTCTCAGAGGGACATGAAATGGCTAATAGGAGCGATGCTGTATCCGCTTACTTCACAATAAACCCCACTCAACTCAGTGGGCTTTACTCCAGAGTAGGCGTGCATAAGATTGAGCTGCTAGTCACGTGGAAAGATGGCACTGTGTTATAGGAAAAGGTTTATACCAATCGCCAGCATGTGGCCAGTGTCATAGGAAGGATATTATGGGATTTCAGAAGGAGAGGCCAGGGCTCAACATACCTCTCAAGACCCCGACTTCACCACAGATCTTCATTTTCGTATCTCACACGGCAGTTTCCTATTTTTACTACTTATTTTTGGTTTAATGACTTTGCCACAGAAAATGCAAAAAAGGTCTCTCTTTTTTTGGACTGGGGCTCCCAGCATTCTCTAGCCCCCTCCAAAAAAATACCTTTTCCAAATTCAGCTGCTGGAGCCCCCCAATAAAGTCTCACCTACCTGTATGTGCATCAGAAACAGACTTCAAACGGCTCCTTGTGAAGCTTAATTTGTAATCTCAATATCAGAGGAAATGGGCTTCAAAGCACAGGTTAGATCCCTGCTCAGTATTATCTGCTTCTTCAGCCTTTCCTGACCCCACGCTTTCCAGATGTTTCATATCAGAATAGTCTAAACACATCTGGAAGGTGCTGGATTAGAGAGGATTCAGTCGGGATGCCAAACCGGGGCTGTTGCACCGAGCCGAGCTTGGCAAAGTTACTTCTTTTGGAGCAAGAATGACCGTCAGTCCTCCCCAAATTTAACGGTGCCAAGCTCTGCTTTGAAGCCATGCCAGTTTTCGGAGATTTCAGCTGGCTGGAAAGGCTCGGCCCTCTTCAAACGCCACCCCCTCCAAGGTGCCCTGATGCCGTGAGATCAGGGCTGTGCTGAATTAAAGCATGCTTGATCTTTCTTTCGAACTGGGTGACGGCCTCTCTTTCTGGCAGGGCCTATTTGCCCTTCAAAACGGTGTGGGAAGCAGAAATCCAACCGGTAAAGCTCTCTTTCCCCTGCCCTTTTGTGTTTGAAAGATCTCCTTTGTAAAAAAAGAAAGAAAGAAAAACCCCATGCGGGAGAAGCTCGCTCTCGGTCCCTCTAAAGGGAACCAGGCACCTCTGATACCCAGTAGATTCCTTGAATCACAGCGATCACCATGTGCAAAAGTAACCAGGGACACGGGAGTCAAGGCCGAAATTAACCAAGAGTCATGTGCCCCTTTAAAGAGGATCGACTTGAACATCACAGAGGCCAGAATCCAACGACTGATTCAGGATGGTATAAGTGCAACAGCATAACCTGAAAAATTGCTGCCAATTAAGAAAAAAATGTGCGTGTTTTTTCTTATCTTAGCACGGCAAAAAGGCACCACTGGATCCCTAACAAGGAACACAGCTGTTGACTCCCTAACAGGTAGTGATCTGCTGCGAGTGGTTTATTCCTTTGCACTCACTCACACCTTCTAAGATAAGTAAGAGGAATCTGGCCACTGCCTTCTACAGCTGGGATGGATCTCCCGGGATCACCAAGTTCAACGGTTCCAAACCTTGGGGCTCCAGATGTCTTTGGACCGCCACTCCCAGAAATCCTGGCTGATGTTGAAGGCTTCTGGGAGTGGCAGTCCAAGAAGATCTGGAGACCCAGAGGTTTGGGAACCCCTGCTCTAACGGAACACCCTCCTGGTTGCAGGCTTTGGCACAACCTCCTATGGATCTTGGGTCACGTCTCTGACGCCACCGACGTGGCAAGCGTCAACTACAACGTTTGAGCCCTTAAGGTGCCAAAAACACTCTGCTATCGTACTTTTGGAGGTCTCTCGTGCCTTGCCTTGAGAGGTATGAGACTCGGGCTTTCTTAGGATCTGGGGAGGAAGAGAGCAAAGAGGGTAAAGTGTGCATAGACATATATATATATATATATTGTGATCTCAATATATATATTTGGAGATGGTAGGGGGGCATCAGTCTGCAGTACCTTCCAGCAAGAGCAATCGGAAGTTCGGGTCGCATTCTGCGGAAGGGGAAGGAGAGAACCCAGTGAGACAAGGTGGGAGTTTTGGGAAAGGCCTGGCCGCAACAAGAGACTCAGGCTTCTACGTGGGAGAGAGGTGGCCTCCGCCACTGGCCCCTTCTGTGGCCTTGGGCACGTCCCCTTCACCATCTCTGGGTGTCTCGGTTCTCCCCACCCCACCCCTTGGCTGGGAAAACGGGATTAACCTTGGCCGTTCTGGTCTGGAAAGGATGGTCCTCAGTGCGAGGAGCCTAGAGCTTGGAAAAATGCCTCTCTTTTTTTGGACTAGAATTCCCAGGACCGGGAATATTAAGCCTGGGGTTGAGCGGGAACGCCATCATGAAAAGCTTTCTAGAAAGGAGCAGAGCAGACAGATATTGATGGGGAAGATCCTGCATGAGCTGGGGCCGGTGGTCTTTTTTGCCAAGCAGAGCAAGGGGGTGGGTGTTTTACAGGTCATGGGATGTTAACTAAGAAGAAGCTTCTATTCTCCCCCCCTCCAAAAAAAGCTGCTTAGGGTGACGTCGGCAAAGCAGCTGGGAGTTTTTCCTGAAGCTCTGAAGCAGGAAGCCGACGCTGCGGCCGCTCACCTTCCATGGGGCTGTTGGCATCCATCCGGTTGGCGAAGACGATGTCCACGTATTCCAGCTGAAGCCGTTGCAAGGACCCCTTTAAGCCTAAAAACGTGCAGGGGGAGAGGAGAGAGGAAAGGGTCTCAGACTCATCAGCTACGTATTTCCCTTCTATGGCCGACGCCGGCTGCTCCCTCAAGGTTGTAGAACACCTTTCCGCCAGTGAGATCCCCCCTCCGCATTTTGTGCTGGACTACGAACCCCATCATCCCGGTTCCTGGCTGGGGATGACAGGCATGGTAGTCTAGCGCACCAGAGGACTTCCTCAGAAAGAACCCTGGGATCCTGATTCCTCCACGGCTTTCCTCCCCTGAACGGCAGCCTTCACATGTTCTCAGAGACCACCTTTCCCCTTCGCCACCCCCACACGGACTACTCAGCAGCTGCCCCATAAACCAGCCCCCCCCGAACCATAATCGGCCACCTGCTTTTTCCTCAAACCCCTCCCAGTCTTTCCCTTTCCCGCGGGCCTTACCTTCAATAATGTGTTTCCGTGATAACCCTCTCTCTGTCTCGGCCCTGGAGCGCAAAAGAAGAAGGAGCAAAACTGAGGGTCCCCTTCTTGCGACGGGGCCCCTTTCCTCCCGCGTCCTTCTGCAGCCAACCCGGTCCCTTTGTGAAAGCCTTGCAACCATGAGGTGAAGGCAACCACACCTTCTCCGGCCTTCTCAGATAGAATTGTCTTAAACAGGGAGGTTCTATTTAGCCCCAAGGCATAAATGGCCTTGAAATGACCAGGCTAGACCCATGTCTGTCCTGCACGAGGATAGACACGGGTCTGTCCTAGTGAAGCTTTTCCCCAACTGTGGCCCCATCACAGGTGTTGTACTACAACCCCCAGAATCCCCTAGCCCGCTAGAGATTCTGGGTTTTGGAGTCCAGAGCTTCTGGATAGCCCCCAGTTAGGAAATGCTGTTAGAAAAGGTCCGTCCGTATGCAGAGGTCCTGTCCGTACTCAGATTGCACATCCCTTACCGCTCACAAACTGGGTTCCACATCCCCTTATGCATCAGGAAAAGTGTGTGTTTTATCAACACTCCGAAAATTCACCACCGTCCATGCCTACAGCTGGACCTCTTGACCGGGAGCAGGGAAATGCCTCTTCTAAAATCTAACATTGGGCACAAACAGGCCTCAGGACTTTGCCTTTCCACCCATTTCTCGGGGACCCCCGGATACTTACTGGCCTCCCCAGTAAATCTTGGTGGTGACGACGTAGCTGGATCGCCTGGAGAGCGGACACAGAAGGGAGGTGAGTACGGAAACACACCTGCCTGGGAGAATATCTAGTATCCTCTCTGATCACAACTTTCAGGGTCAAACAAAGGCATTACCTCCATCCTTTGCTCTTCAGGATGTTCCCCAAAGTTTTCTCAGCTCTGAAGAATTAAAACAAAAAAGATGAAGAGAGAGACAGACAACTTTCTTTGCTTCATCAATGGCCAAATCAAGACTTTAATTTCTCCTCCAATCCATGGCGGGGCCTCCCGGCAAACCAGAAAAACATCCGCATGGCATGAGAGCCAAAAGTGAACATTTATTTCCAACGTGTCCCCGAAGGTAACAGACATTCTTTGCCTCTTGGGGGTGTTTGGACTTTGGGGAATAAAGGCCACCGGCTGAGTCTAAGCGGATCCTGGTCGGTTGCGATCAGGATCTCAGCGTAGCTCTTTGGACCTGCCTTTCCACACTGAACGATAACAATCAGAATTTGGAAAAGTTACTCGGTCCCTCTCGGACTACAACGCCCAACATCCCCAATCTTTACTTCTAGGTTTTATGGGGAGAACATTCAGATCTCCCTGGCACGGCTTGCTGAACGTAGCCAACCTCAGAAAAAAATAACTTTAAAAGGAGAGACACAGGCGCGAGGTGGCTGAGTTATCTCCTGGTGTGACGGATTCTCTTTGTTTTGAGACCCGGCCTTTGGTCAGTGGAGACTAAAATCTCCCCCTCCTGCAACAGGCTACAGAACTGTTAGGAATTTAGGAAGCCAAATATGTTGCCCTGTTTTCTGCTTTTGTGGAAAGATCGCAGGGTTTACACCATACAGACAAGGGAACTCTGCAACGGAGTATCACAGACCGATTTTTGTGCCTTGATCTTATCCCCACCCTCATTGCATCTTTTACTGATTTCCTCCTCTGAACCCAGAGACATCAGCCAGGTAAGGATCCTGGTCTGGCCGTAGAGTGAACTGCCTCTAAAAACAATCCCCGGATCGCTCTTTAAGATGTGCCCATTTGGTCTCTTTGGGTGGAACAACTTTGTTTCGTAGCTGGCGACTCAAATTGTTCTATATGGTTCAGTCCCTGATTTCCATCCAGAGCGCCTTCAGTGAGGTGAACGAGCGCTACTGTGGAATAGCGCTGGTCGAGCGCCTGATTTCCATCCAGCGCGCAATCAGCGATTGCGCTCGTTCACTTAACGGATTGCGCGCTGGATGGAAATCAGGCGCTTGAACAGGGCTATTCCACTGTTTCATGCCGACAGTTGTAACCCCAGAATCCCTCACCCAAAAAAGGCGTTCTGGAGGGCGTCCGTGCAAAAAAAAAAAGGGTAACCTACCAGCCAGCCACACTGGGTTCGTTTTTGCAGGTCCGCTCTCCCCCTCTCTCAAACACACACTCGCCCCGTGCGTTGTCCGTGCAAGTCCTCTCGCCCTCCAGTCACCTCATCTCACCCTGTGACAGACTGCATCTCTATTTCTCTCCCCCCCCCGCCCTCCTTCCACCCGCTCCGGTTTTCTTGCCGAGCCAGCTGACCCCCAAATCCGGCCTGACAGAATCATGTCATGAGCTTTTTAATTACTGCCTCCTAAAAAGCCACGAGAGATGGCTCTTCTTGGCCACAGACGTTATCTGGCTGGCAGGAGTGAGGTGGGGCAGCTGTTTCCCCCCCACCAGTCCCCCCAAATGGAATAGGGCAGAAGAGAAAGGAGGAAGAGGGTCAGGAAAGGAGTGTGTGTGTGTCTGGGGGGAAGTCCTTGGGAAAAAAATACTTTTGGGGAATTTGATGCCATAATGACAGGATTCTGGGAGCTGTGCTCCAAACGGGCCATTTTTTTACTGGACATTTGAGCCAGTGCTCAAACCTTGATGAGATCTCAAGGGGAAGTAAAAATGAGATCTCTGAGCATGCGAAGAATCCATAACCTTCCCTTTCTTGCCGAGCTCTTATAGGTAGTCAAGATTTAGATCCGCGGGTCAGATCCCAGGCGGATGGGACCTTCCTAAAGACCTCCTGCTGATGGAGAAGCTTGAGCCGGGAGGCTAAATCCCAGGGCGGGCTGGTGGACGTGAGGGGAGAAGCTGCACCAGTGGAATTTCTCCCTGCCCTGGGGCTCTGCGAAGCAGGAATGAGCCATTCTGCCGGGGCTTCCTGGGGCTCATCACCCCTTTCGGGAGAAGGGAGTTGAGCATGTAACGGCCGGACATACTTGCCAGAAGCGTAGACCTCGGCCGTGTCGAAGAGGTTGACGCCGTTCTCGTAAGCAATGGTGAGCACGTTCTCCGCCATCTGGAACCAAGGAGAGAAAGGGGGTCACGCCAAAGCGACGTGTCGAGAGAAAACCAACAGAGCAAAAGCCACAACAGAAAGAGATTTCTCTGCTCCAACTCTCCCAGCCAGTGTGCGAGGGTCGTGGTTAGAACATCAGACGAGGACCCGGGAAACGTGAGTTCAAATCCACACTTACCTGAAAAACTCACCGGGTGACCCTGAGCCTACCTAACCTTGTCAAGTTGTTGTAAACATAATGTGGGGGTGGGGAAAAAATCACAGGACGTAGGCTATAACTCTAACTAACTAACTAACTGACTGACTGACTGACTGACTGACTGATTGACTGACTGACTGACTGACTAGAGTTATAGCCTACTTTAATAAATAAATAAATCTTTACAGAGATACAAGTCTCTTTTCTTGATTTTTTCTGCCCAAGATTGAGCTGAGTGAGGCGGAACAGAAGATGGGTTAAACATTGGTCCTTACCTCATCCGAGATCTGGGATCCAAAGGTGACCCACGTACCTGCAGGGAGGAAACCAAGCCTTTCAGGTGAGTGGTGATGACGGGGACCTTGCCCGGCTGCCTCCCTTTTATCCCCCCACCCCGCCAAAGAAGGCCAATGTGTCAAAGGGTGCTCCCCATCCCAAATGAAGGGGGTCCAGCCAGAGTGATGAGTCCATTAGGGTCAGGTGATCCCAGGACTGGACCTGGACAAAAAAATTTTTTGGAGGGGGACTACAAACCACGACCACATTGCTCTCTTCTCTCCCCCCCCCCACTTCTGGGGACTCACCAAGGCCAAGACAGGAAACACGAAGGCCGGATTTTCCAAGGTTCCTGCATGCGAAAGAGAATAAGAAAGAAACGATAATAGCCTTGACACAATGCCAGAGCTGAGCCTTTAGGANNNGGGGGGGGGGGGATCCCTTGGAATCATTTCGCAGCTCCTACCCTCACGGTCCCACTGAAAGTCCCCAAATGCTTCCCCCCACAAGATCCCAGCGAAAATACCAAACCCTGCCAAGAGTTTTCTCCAACGACCAGCCATCCCTTGAGGGCTGGTTTTGGGAGAGAAGGCCACCCTAGGCTCACAAAGGGGTAATTTAAAACAAAGAAACATACACACACACACCAGCCCAGTATACTGAATCATCGGGAGATCCCTTGGGATCTAGAACCCCATTTTGCTGCAGGAGGGTCGAAACCCCACCTTCCAAAAGAAAAAAATAATAATAAAAAAACATTCTCCCAGAATCAAAGACACCTTTCCTTTTTTTTTATCTGCCAAAGATAGTGCGGACAGTCAACCTGAAATCAAAAAGTGCAGCACACACTCGTTGTGACCCTGTGTGTATGTGTGTAAAGGCTGCACTTCGTGGTTCCTCATCCAATGTTCACTTTTTTATATACAGAGTCGAGAGGTTCCCTCGCTAACCCAAAAGCAGTGGTCAAACCGCAGGACTGCAGTCCAGACTCTGCGCACAACCTGAGTTCGATCGCAAGGAAGCCGGCTCAGAGTTGACTCAACTTTCCATCCATCCGAGGTTCAGGGTGGGCAAGGTGTAGCCTGCAGAGTTAAATTGTAAACCATCCAAAGAGTGCTTTAAGTGCTATGGGGTGTGCTATATAAGCAGCACACATTGCTTCGCTCTCTGTATTGTTTGTGCCAACTGGAAGAATGCTTTCTCAGACCTCCTGTACCTTTTGTTAAAACCTTCCTCCTCATTTTTACTGCCTGCTTTATTGTTTCCTGTTCATAGTGGCAGCACTATTGTTGATAATTGTTACCCCTAATTATGTTACCCCTAAAGATATCCCCACCCTTCCCCACATGGGGTGTGGGCATCTTTAATTATGGAATTCGTTTCATTATTAATTTTTTTCTACATATAGGTAACAATGGCCCCATAAAGCCATTTTTTGGACCACCTGGGATGCCCAACCCTGTAAGAAATTCTGCAAATTTTGGGGCCCTGTTCTATGCCAGGAAGCCTCTCGGATCTGCGGTTTTGCAATGGAGCGGGAAGGGGACCCCCCCCAAGCAACGTACCAGTTTGACTTCTCGTTTTACATTTTGGAGGGGTTGGTGCCCTTCCTATGGGTCCCTGGGGTTGAAAATGGAGCACTTAAACCTTGCAAAATTTTAATAGTTTTTTTAAATGTATATATTACTGGATTTAAATGTATATCTTACTGTATATCTTTGAGAAGGAATTAAAGAACCTTGTAATGAGGGTGAAAGAGGAGAGTGCAAAAAACGGTCTGAAACTCAACATCAAAAAAACTAAGATCATGGCCACTGGTCCCATCACCTCCTGGGAAATAGAAGGGGAAGATATGGAGTCAGTGACAGATTTTATTTTCTTGGGCTCCATGATCACTGCAGATGGTGACAGCAGCCACGAAATTAATAGACGCCTGCTTCTTGGGAGGAAAGCAATGACAAACCTAGACAGCATCTTAAAAAGATGACATCAGAGACATCACCTTGCCGACAAAGGTCCGCCTAGTCAAAGCTATGGTTTTTCCAGTAGTGATTTATGGAAGTGAGAGCTGGACCATAAAGAAGGCTGACCACCGAAGAATTTATGCTTTTGAACTGGGGTGCTGGAGGAGACTCTTGAGAGTCCCCTGGACTGCAAGGAGAACCAACCTATCCATTTTGAAGGAAATCAACCCAGAGTGCTCACTGGAAGGACAGATCCTGAAGCTGAGGCTCCAGTACTTTGGCCATCTGATGAGAAGACTTCCTGGAAAAGACGCTGATGTTGGGAAAATGTGAAGGCAAGAGGAGAAGGGGACGACAGAGGATGAGATGGTTGGACAGGGTCACCTAAGCGACCAACATGGATTGGACCCAACTCTGGGAGGCCGTGGAAGACAGGAGGGCCTGGCCTGCTCTGGACCATGGGAGTGCGAAGAGTCGGACACGACTGAACGACTAAAGAACAAAATATCTTACTATGTTTCTAAATCTACTCTTTTTTAGTATTGTGAGCCACTTTCGGTCCCCTTATCGGGGAAAAGGCGGCCTATCAATAAAACAAACAAACAAACTGTGGGGGTGTTGGGATCAGCATGCATGCGCACACACCCCTATATTGTGTCCCATCGGCTTTCTGCAATGCTGGCGCAAGTGGGACCAGAAGCCGCCCCGGCCAGGCCTCCCGGGGTCCTCCCTCGGAGGCGGCAGAAGTGTGCGGTTCCGCTCTGTGCGCCCTGTCCACCCTCTTTGGGCTCGTTAGCGCTGCCGTGCGCACCCAGTGCGCCTCTCGCGGCTTCATTAACGAACGGAGCTACCGCTGTGAGCGATCAGGGAGATAAAAATAGACAGGAAGCCGAGAGCTCGGGGCTTCAAAACGGGGTCACTGCTGGCGGTGGCTGGAAGCTTCTGTGAGGGAAAGAACGGGGTGGGTTTGGTGGCGAGGGGGGGTTGCAGGACGGGACGGGAGGGGTAAAGCTGCAAAGACCGGCAATCTTCTTTCCTCTGGCCATTTTCCAGACTCGCTGGCGATCTTCTTTCCTCCGGCCATTTTTCAGACTCGCTGCTGCTATTTTTTTGGGGGGGTGGCGGGTGAAGGATGGCTTTATACCCTCTCCAGATGTTCCTTGTAAAAAAAAATAATACCCAGTGGGGAGGCGAAGAATAATCCAGACCGGCTTCTCTGAGCCGTGCCGGTGGGCAGTCTTGGCTGGCACACAAGAGCAAAGAAAATCAAGGTGATTCCTCTGAGCATGGGTGGAGTGCACCTCCAATGCTACCAGGTAGTCCGGCCACACACCACACATCAAGGAACGGGAGACGGTAGGGTTTCCGAGAGCGGTCAGGAAGCCGTGACCAGCCTCGCGGCCACCCTCATGTTTTAAACTACTTCCCAAATGGGCCGCTGTTAATACTCCCAGTGTTTTGGACCACAGTGCCCATCATCCGCAGTCGTCACCGCTAAATGTGGAGGACGATCAGAGCTGTAGTCCAAGACTTGTCCAGCCCTGCGGTTGAGGCACCAGCCTGGCTTTCTCCCCGGAGCTCGGGAGCGTCGCTTTTTTGGACTACAACACCCAGAATCCCCAGCCAGTGAAGGCACAGGCCATGCTTCTCTCCCTACTCGGGTACCAACCCAACCACCCAGAGCAAAACGCCTGGACTGAAAAAGAGGATCAGGACCCCAGGAGACCGATAGAGTCCAATCTCTTTTGCGCCACCGAGTGCCGGCTCAGTGACTCCGTGGCGGTCGCTTTGCGCCTCAAGCTCACCAACCCACCTCGTAGGGTTATAAAGGTAAAGGTAAAGGTTCCCCTTGTTTTGTCCAGCTCTCCCTACTCGGGTACCAACCCAACCACCCAGAGCAAAACGCCTGGACTGAAAAAGAGGATCGGGACCCCAGGAGACCGATAGAGTCCAATCTCTTTTGCGCCACCAAGTGCCGGCTCAGTGACTCCGTGGCAGTCGCTTTGCGCCTCAAGCTCACCAATCCACCTCGTAGGGTTGGTGTGAAGATAAAATCGGAGCGCATGTCGTGGGGGAGGACCATGCTGAGTGCTGTCAACTCTCTGGGCAAAATAAAGGTTATAATGTAATAATAAATCTCTGACTTAATATTCCTTATGTGCCCATTGAAGGTGTAGAAGTTGCTCTTTTGGGTAGAGAAATTGCTCCTCGATGCTCTAAGCCAACACGGTCAAATGGCAGTGTAAAAAGAACAGCTGTCCCTGGCTCTTGTTAAGGTTGCCAACTTCTTTTCGAAGCCATGCGCCTCTGCCTGGAAACAGCGACCTAAGGTGCAGAAACCAAGGGCTTTCCTTTTGTCCCCTCAGCCTTCTGCGGAAATAACTATTTAAGCCTCCTCCCGCCTCCGTTGCCAATGTCTCCACCGATTTTGCGGCAAATTTCGGAAGCGAGGCCGCGGGGCCAGTTCCCTCCAGCCCAAAGTTGGGCCATCTTGGCACCCTCCTCTCCACCGATTTTGCGGCAAATTTCGGAAGCGAAGCTGCAGGCCCGGTTCCCTCCAGCCCAACGTTGGCCATCTTGGCATGTGCGGAAGAGAAGGAGATTTGTCCTGTCGACTCTATTTGCTTCTCCCCTGCCATACCAGGGGGATAAATATCGCCGTTCCCCAGACACCAGCTGGGCTGGCCTCATAATTAAACCATAAGGGTACCGATTTTGCGGCAAATTTCGGAAGCGAAGCTGCAGGCCCGGTTCCCTCCAGCCCAACGTTGGCCATCTTGGCATGTGCGGAAGAGAAGGAGATTTGTCCTGTCGACTCTATTTGCTTCTCCCCTGCCATACCAGGGGGATAAATATCGCCGTTCCCCAGACACCAGCTGGGCTGGCCTCATAATTAAACCATAAGGGTGCAAGTGGCCAACAGGTGGCCGAGGGGCCAGAAACCCAATCTCTCCCCAGGCCAGGATCCCAACGTGGCTCCAGTGGACCAGAACATCGTTGCGCCATTAAGCAAGCCGGAATCTCTCCAACCGGATGTTAGGGGAAGCCCCACCGACTCCTATCCCCTGATACTCTCTGTATCCGAATGTTTATTTGTTCAAAAATTATAGACCACCTTTAAGGATCCAAAGCAGCTTAAAAGAAACAAAGTTTAAAAAATGATAATAAATTATTGCAATCTTTAAAAAGCATTGCGCAAATATAGTAAAACCTGTAAGAAGAGCAAGCTTAAAAACACAAAACACATTGGGGGGGGGGACAACAGCAATCTCTTTACAAAGTACCTCCCCCCCCGGTCAACCTGTCATTTAACGGAAAGCCTGCTTGAAGAGAAAGATCTTTTATCTGCTTGGGGAAGGAGAGCAAAGATGGGGCCCGGCTGGCCTCC